TAATTAAACTATGTTAGAATATACAAAACAAGAAGAAGAAGAAGAAGCAAAAGACTAGATGTTTTTTTAAAAAATCTGTATTACTCGAGTTTTGGAACTTTTAGATCTAAAGTTTTTTTTTTTGATGAATAGAAAATAATATTTGTCGTTTTTTTTCTATGTAAATAAAATCTACCTGGAGTATGTCATTAATAGAAACTGATGGTGGATAAATAACAAAATGACGAAGTGTAAAACCAAAACCACCACCTGAATAATCACTTGATCGAGATATGATTATTTTTTTAGATTTTTTCATTTGTTTAATTAAAATTTTCTCTAAAAATATTTTTTAAAAAAATAAATAAATAATATGAATTAATTAAAAGAAAATGTAGAAAATTTTTCTATTTACTTTGGACAAGGAAGATAATAATAATAATAATAATAATACATAGTTCTTCCTATTAATAATGGTGTTTTCTGAAAGAGAAAAATTATTGTTCTTGTTTTTCTACAATTCTATCAATAGGAATAATGAGAAAAAAGAGAAGTGTCAAAAGAGAGAGAAACAAAATAAGAGACGATAAAAGAGAACGATATTGTACTGGCTAATTGTCCTAGTCTACTGACTCTAAGACATCTTCACTCGTCATATATTACATCGCTATCATACAAAGTTCATTAAGTTCTCTTCTTTTGCTCTACAAATACATATGCACCTGTACATAAAGAAAAAGAATAAAAGAACAGAAAGGAAATGAGTACTTATATTGTCTAGAAATAAATCTCTTTCTGCTTACATTAATAATTCATATTTACTTTATTGATTTATTTATTTTGAAATTATATTATTTATTAAAATATAAATTTAGCATATAGAGATGTTATGTAGAGTAAAGAAGCAAGTGTTTGTCTGATATTGATGCAATAAAAGAAAAAGCAGAAAGAAAAGACAAGCTCATTAAAGAAGATAGACGAATATGAGCATCAGTCCGGAAGTACTCTCTATGTTGTGATTATCAACAATGTGTAGACGCGATAAGACAGATGGTCTTATCATTTCATTCGTCTTCAATATATATATATATATATCGCTATTGACCACATAGTGAGCTATTGAACTTAGTCGTTGATCATCACTCTGATGATGCAATATCAACAAGACATATAAAGATAATCAAGTTCATCAATACTCAATCCAAAGATAAATAACATTTTTCATCAGATTATAAAATCAAATAAAAAAAGAAAAATAAAAAAATATTGAATTTGGATTTTTCTTATTTTTTTTTTGTTTCAAATCATAATCATTGATGTTTATTCTCAAAAATGTTAACCTTGAATACATATGTAAATCAAATATAAAATCTTGTTATTTTCGGAACTTTTTCTCTTTCAACAAGTAATATATCCATCTAACGAAATATAATTCAATACAGATACGTACGTTCTTTGTTTGTTTTCAATAACCACTACTGGTAGATTAAATGGTTAGTACGTTGATATGGTTTTAACATTGGCTTATTTATTCACGTTTTAAAAGAAGAAAGTCAATGGTAGGCGATGAAGGACTAAGAAATTATACATTAAATAGAAAAGAAAGAAAGAAAGAAAGAAAGGTGAAGTGAAAATAAAAGAAAGAATTACTAAATGATGACATTCAATGTCGAAGACTTTTTTTTTTTTATAATCAATAAAATAAGAGCAGACAGACGGAAGTCTGTATATGTATATATTTATGTGTGCATGTGTGGCTCCAGGGATATATACATCATAGAATCAGGAAAAAAAAAACGAGAGAGAAGGTGGTCAAATGACGCGTATGTCTGTTTCCGGTGGGCAAAAGGCCATCATCCATTTCTCTCAAAGGTCTCCTCGAGCTATAAATAATGATTGAATATAAGATTGATTGATTCACAGATTATTCCTTAATAAATAAACTAGAACTTCATATTATCAATTTCAACTAGTATTTTTTTTTTCAAAAAAAAAAAAAAAACAACTTTGTTGACATTACCCTTTTATTCTTCTAAATTTGATCAAACATATAATAGAAAAAAGAAGTTCTCTCATTATTTGTCCTTCATCAATATTTGAAAACTAACAATACTAACCTCAATCTGACCATTTTCATATTTCAATGAGTGTATTGCATCATACAATTCAGGTATTCACAATCAGTACAAGTGCAGAACGAAAAAAAAAAAGAACATGTTGAATATTCTACTTATGATCGCATGTGCTTTGAACAAGAGAGAAAATGATTAGACTTGTTCGCAAACAGAAGCAATAATCAATTTCTTTTTTAATTCTTTCGTCAATCTCATTTAGAGTACTCGAATGACACAAGAATGTGCCAAATCCAGTAGACGATGAACAGATTAAACATGTCCAGACATGAGAGAATACAAAAAAAAAAAAAGCAATGATATGTCTTTTTTTTTCTTCTTTCTTTTCATTTCTGTTTTCTATCATCATATCAGTTTGACTTACTTGGTTAAACACGACACGCAAACAATGATTAAATCATGTTTTTTTTTTTTAAACTGATTTTTTAAATAAAAATACTAATAAATACGATAAAAAGGAGATAATTATTTTTGGTTAGAAAAAAGACGTATCAATGATAATGTCTTATTTTGTTGTTGATGTCATTTGTTGTTCTCATCTTCCTATTCTTTTAGCAGATATTATTGACGTCTCAGTTGCTTATATATATATATATATATTTATTGTTGTTCTTTACCAACAACTTCCTTTTTTCCAGATCGTTTAACAGAAGGAAACAGTCATGTCATAATATTATACATACACAGAAGAGGAATATACATATGATATGCATCAATGAAAAAAAAAAGAAGAATAATCAAGTGTCCATTGGATATACTTCAAAGAAAATGATACTAGGAAGTATTGTTTTCCCTGTAGAACAAAAAAAATAATAATCATGTGATCTAGGAAGATAAAAATAGATCTTTTTTTTTTCTATGTAATACTTTTAAAGTAAAAGAAGTCAAAACAAAAGAGAATTTCTACATTCTCTGATGATAACTACATACTTATCATTGATTGAAGATGAATGTGTACTTTTTTTTTTCTTAGTTATTCAATCAATACAATTAGTTATATGAAATTTTAAAATCAGTAAATTCTCTTTTCTTTATTCTTTCTATATTTTCACATTAGGGAAAAATAATATGGATAATACAAATAATGGATCCAATCGAAATATGACGCTACTATCGAAATTTTTTTTTTTAATTCAAACATTGCGTTTCACTTTATTTAAAAGATGATTTTAGGTATACATATATACATATACATATATATATATGTTTTTTTGTTGTTGTATATGTTTAATACATCAATAATACTTTTAAAATTAAACATTGAATTAAACCCTAGATCGAGGTATCGAAATGTTCGAGAAGATATAAATCAGTCGAATACGAGAACGAACAAAGAATAGATATATAAACAGCCGACACTACGCATTAATTCAGATTATTGTAAACATTTTTTTCTTAGCGACTATCTATTCATTATTATTTTATTTTAAAAATGTCAAAGACAAAAACAATAACATTATCAAAATCGACAACATCTACTAAAAAAAATTCGAATAAAAGAGCTAAAGATCCAAATGCACCAAAACGATATCGAACAGGTTATATTTTATTTTCTGTTGAAAAACGTGATGAAATTAAAGTAAATATTTTAAATGAATTATTTAGTTTTATTTTTATTTTTCCATATTTCTTTAAGAATGAAAATCCAGGATTATCAGCAAAAGAAATTATATCAGAACTTGGTGCTCAATGGAAAGCTGCTGATGCTGCAGTAAGTCTTTGTTTTTTCTTTGATTTATTCATATTGGATAAATTCTTTTTTTTCTGTTTTTGTTTGTATTTGTTTAGACTAAACAACGTTTTCAAAAATTATCTGATAATGAAAAAGCCGAATATGAAGAAAAAATGGCCGCTTATAAAAGTGAAAAAAATGATAAAGAATCAGCAAAAGAAAATCAAAAGAAGAAAAAATCTTCTAAAAAAGATGAAGTTATGGAAAATGGACATGACGATTCAATGGAAGATTAACTGATCGTAATAACAAATATATTTATTTAAAAAACAAAAGAGTTTTATCTCTTTTGTTTCTTTTATTTATTATTTTGTTTATATATTCTTTACTCTTAACTTGTGTTTATTTTTCTTCTTTTATTCATGTGTTGAGCTCTCTCTCGATTTATGGGTGTTGCTCCATCTACATATTAATAATGAAATAAAAATAGCGATTGTATGAACTTTATCGAAGAAAATAGCTTGTTTGTAGATCATACAATTAGAGGAGAGAGAAAGCAGAATTATTTTCCTCCTCTTCAATTTTTCTTGCATTTGGTATTTTACTTTGGAAACTTTCTGTAACATCTTTAATCCTTTTTGTAGAACAGATTGACCATGTAAAAGCAAAATTTTTATTTGTAATTTTTTAATGAAAATCAGTTATTTAAACTGAATCAGATCATATTTTGAAGAGTAATAAGATAAAAGATAATAGAAATGTCAAAAGTATGGTTTAATAATTAAAATATCTCAAATTTATTTCATAGATACTACAGAAAACTTTGTGCGCAATCCAATTCAATATATAATACCTGAATGAATGAAATGAAATGAAATTTTAATACTTTTATCAATTTGATTTAATGAATGTATGCACTACAATGAATATAAAACAAAATTATGGAATAGTCTCTCATCAACAACTATCAAGTTTCATATATTAAAATCAAAGATTATGGAAAACGATTGAGATGATATTGTAAAACATTTTTGTATGTATTGAAGACGAATAAAAGGTCACTATGTCAAAATAAATATTAATAAAAGACAAAAACTATGCAACTATTAGAAAGAACAATAATTTAAAAACTATTGATGTAAATAGTTTTTGTGTGTAGTGTTTCCATTGATCGAAAATTTCTTTACAAATTTACTAACACGAAAAAAATCGACGAAAGAAAAAGTGTTCATGATTGATAACGAGAGTATTAAAAGTTTTAGCTAAGAATATTTTTTTCCAAAAAACAAAACAGATGAATGAATAGTTTCTCTGTAGCTTTAGAAGATTTTCTTCCTTAAGGGAGTCCTATCCCTTTCTCAGTGATAAAATCAAATTTTTTTTAATTTTTGGTTTTTCATCACTCATGTAACTCCAAAGTGTCCTCTATTAAACGCCATATAAGTAAGGGCTCTTTGTTAGTACTTTTATTAAACCCAAGTTTTGAAATCCCTAGCAGAAAAGCTCGCACTGTGATTATTCGTTGTATGGAAAATTTTCCTCATGATAATGAATATTTCTCATGCCAAATGTCCTGATAGCATAGGTTATGAACTTCTAACATCACTGAACACGGTCAATTTTCGATCACTTTAATTGAAGAAAAAAAAAGTTCGGATAAAGACAGGAAAGTTTGTTTTTCATTTTTTTCCAAGTTAATTTTTGAACAAAAAAGAACGAACTTTCCTCCTTTTCTCACACACGGTACATTCGATTGGACTCAAATTTTTTTTATGAGTACTTTGATCAAATTGGGGTACGTTTTTTTATTATTTTTCTTCAAAATATTATTACTACGAGATTCGACAACTTTTAAAAGATGAGCACCATTGAAAAAAAGAAACATGTTTTTTGCTGATGCCTCTAATATTTTGCTTCTTCTGAGGTCTAGGAACGATATTTTTCAAAGAAAAAAAAATATCACACTCTCACTTGATCCTAATTGGCTTAAAAACAAATGAAGTATAGAGTTTTGTGATGAAGAAAAATTTTTGGTCTTTACAATCTTTATATCTTCCTTAAGAAAGAATTTCAGAATTTTGAGTCTATGACAACTTTAGCTCTACTTATTGAGATTTATCTGTCTTAAAATTTTCATAATTTTCCGTGAAGCTATCCTCTTAACTCTTATCCCTTCTAAGCAAGACTAAACGAAAGTTATGCTTGTTTGTAAAGAAATGTGATAGTCATATGATTAATACTTATGAAAGATCTTATAAATTATTATTGAAATCATTAAAGTTTATCCAATTTATTTTTCAAGATTATTAAAATTTACAATGTGTAAATTTCCTATTAGCACTATTATCAAACAATGTTGATAAACTTTGTTTTTAAATCGATATAATTAGTTGAGATCAGAACCCATCGAGTCCCGAATTCGGTTCTGCTTCCAAAACTTCTTGGATCCGATAGAGTCTAATTAAGATACCTTATTTATGTGTGTTTTCGTTCAGCATGAATCATTAATAATTCATAAATTATCGGTTATATTTTTAATAAATGTTTTAACTAGAAAAAAGATGATCTACACTATTATTATTGTGAGAAAAAAAATCATGACGAGAGAAATCTATATTATCAATAGGACAAATCATTTGTTTGTTTTTTTTTCGAAAAGCAATTTAATTTCAATGTTGAGCAGGACTTTCACCACGCGTTAGACGTTCATTAATATCAGTAATTATCGGAGGTAATTCGGCAATAGTATCAATTATATAATGTGGATTACTTGGAACAAATAATTTATCAATACGTTCACGTTCAGAACTTAATCGATCAGATGAAAGAGCAGAATATTCATTCCAGGTTAGACCAAGAAAATTTCCGGAGAAACGTAATGCTACTGTCCACATACCTGCACTACGACCTTCGAGAATACCTGGTGGAGTATCATCTACTTTGACACAAGCAGCCACATCATCGAGTCCAAGAGCAATTACATTAGCTAATGCTTGTGCTGGACTAGGACGACCTTTTGGTACTTCATCTGACGCCACTATACAATCTGGTGAAAACCCAGCAGCAGCAGCTTGTGATGCTAATTTTTCCATTACTTCCTTGGGGTAACCAGATGTAGAACCAATTTTAAGACCAGCTTGTCGTAGTTCAGTAATAGTGTTCAATGCACCAGGAATCAATGTCGAATATTCTCCCACTTTAGCTATTTGTAATGGCATAAATCGTTTATAGATCTCGTTTACATCGGTATCATTTGATGGACGTCCGAATCGATGTTGAAAACGTTCAGTAATAGCTGGTTGATTACACAGTGTTCGAATATGATCTCGTTTACCAATACCCATAGGTCCACGTGCTTCTTCTAGACTAACTTCAATACCGACACTAGCAAAGGCTTCAACAAATATGCGTGTTGGTGCAAAACTACCAAAATCGACCACAGTACCAGCCCAATCGAGAATAGCAGCTTGTAGACGAGTTGGTAATTGATAACGCATTGCTTATTATATAGGAACGAACTAAATATTCAATAAAAATAAATAAAAAAATCTACTTCGAAAAAACTTCTTTTTCTATGAATATTCAGAAAAAAAAATCAAACTAACAAAAGAAAAGTTAGAAATATAAAAATTATCTAGAAGAATATTATTCTCAATATTTCTATTCATTACCTTCATATAATATAAATGTAATAAATCGATTACCTAACTTTATAGATATAGTTTTATTTCAATGTTTGTAAATGTATCAAAATAAAAGTATTAATATCATTGATATAAAGTTACAAAATGATAAGATAAAAGAATATCTATGATAGGGTATGATGATATATTCATAATAAAGAAGTTTCTATCAATACATAAAGAGTAAGATCATAGTTAAATTTTATGTCGATTAATAATCAATATGTCTTATTGAGTTATCATAGAGGCTACGCATGATGATTGTTGATTGCGACCTACGAAGGTCGTTTTTTTTTTCTTATTCTGATCAAACCTCTTTTATATTCAACACGCACAAGAGCACGTTGTTAATGGCAAAAACTAAGAATAATAACGGCGTTTTATCTTCACATAGAGAGGAAAGAAGAAAAAAATCATATTCTATAACATAAGATAGCAATGATGCTTCCAACGCTGTACTCTTTTTCTCGTATAAAATTTTTAAAAAAATTATTTACAAAACAAATTTATTCACGTTCGCGGTCAAAGAATGATATATACGAGTTTATATTTTATATTTATTAATATTTTAGTGAAAACTTCGAAGGATGAGTGAACTATAATATTAATCACGATTTGAAATAATAACGATTATTTTTGTGTTATTTAAAACAGTAATATACAAATATTGATCGTAATAAATTGAATCTAGTAGTATTCGATATAGAACATCATCAACTATGTTTTCCCGATGAATGCTAGTGAGTAATAGAAAAATCTGCAATGGTTTTGTTTTCTGAACCTTCATTGTTAAGATACTAAAATTTTACTGTCTTTTTCAATAAAAAACTGTGAACCTTCTCAGACCACGTAGAAAATCAATTTTCGTGTTGCGACTTCAAATTTTACACAAACAAAATTCTTAAGAGAGCGCCCATGAGGCGGCTGAGACACTGATCAACATTTAGATGTTTGGTTTTTTTATGTGGATTTTTTTTATATGTTGTGCAACTTTTGATTCTCTACAAAATGGTAAGAAAATATTGAAAAAAAAAGTTCACCTTTGAACCAACACAGGATCCACGATTGTCTCCTACATGATTTTTCAAAAGAAACAAGACTTTTTCAGCAATTTTCATTGACAAGACACGATTATAAGACAAAATAAATGTGAGATTCGGGATCAGCATCAAAAACTACATCGGTTTGAATAAATTCTAGGGAAACTTTTTTTCCTGAGGAAAATCACCTGTGGTCTTCCACAGCTGTATTGTATTAAATTTTTGCCGTGTGGTCCCGCAGGAATCAGTTTTTCATAGAAAAAGGTTTCTCTAGAATTAATTCAAGTCGATGTAGTTTTTTATGCTGATCCGGAATCTCACATTTATTTTGTCTTGTAACTGTGTCTTGTTAATGAAAATTGCTAGAAAAAGTCTTTTCTTTCTTTTGAAAAATCATGTAGAAGACAATTGTGGATCCTGTCTTGGCTCAATGGTGAACCTTTTTTTTTTTCAATATTTTTTTACCATTTTGTAGAGAATCAAAAGTTGCACAACATATAAAAAATTCAGCTTAGCTCCATTTGGTTTACAAAAATGGCAATAGATATACTGTCAAAAATCGACCATTTTCAACTCATAAATTGTGACATATCTAACTCATATTGAACTACAAAGACTCACTAAACAGATTATGTAATAATTCTAATAACAGATTTTTTTTCAGCGATTGATGCTCTATCTTTTAGTATATTGCACGAAAAAATTCTTTGTCTTGTTGAAGCATAATTCTAATAAACATTTATCGTACGATTTTCGACTATTTTTTTCATAGTAAATTGATAGTGCTCTAAAGTTGATATTAGCTAACTTTACTATAATATATCCAAATGAGCTAAAAATTTGGGTTTTGGTGATTTTATGCTATGGCCTTTCAAATCAACATAAAAAATCAAACATCTAAATGTTGACCTTTGCCTCGGTTCCTCGACTCCTCCTCATGGACGCTCTTTTAATTGATCTCGATAAACGATACAGTTCGTACCTTGTAAATATAAACTTTGCAAAATAAGTTTCCTGTTTCAAGTAAATCAGAAAATAGATAAGACGAAAGATCAAGAATAATTAATGAATATGAAATTGAGTACTATCTTTAACGAAGAATAGCGAGATCATTGGTTGAAATTGGAAACATTCATTAACAAGTGTTAAAATATCTAACGATGATTTTAAAATTAATAACATTGATGAAAATGCGTTAAAATATTTTATGCATGAATAGTTGTGAAAAAGTTAACGTCGTTCGACGAATTTGTAAAAAAAGAAAAAATAACGAAATATCATGGAAGTTTTTTCGTAAAACTTCGTTCATTTCTCATTTAACGCAAGATTTGACGTTAATTTCAGAAACAACTTCGTTTAATGCCTTTTTATTTTTATATAGGCTTTCTTACGATTAATAGCTGTGAAATATTCATAGTCAAAATAGACTGATTAAAATAAGGGTTACACATGTAATTCTTTTGTCTTCATCTTTCAAATATTTATTGAAATAAAAACAAAATATAACAAAGCACGTCTAATATTATTTATTTTCATATAAGTCCTTTTCTTTAAATTGATAGATATTTCTTCAGCACATAATAGCATCAAGAACGATAACATACATGGAAAAAATGACAACAGGAAAAGGTAGAGCAGGATAAGTATTTATCGACCATAATTGTTTAATATATAATGTACCACAATAACCGATTTGTACACTTATTATACATCCGAATACTACTAATATTTTTGTTGACAATGACCATTGTGCTTGTAATATGAATAATATCATTAGATTAAAAATGAAGAAATCGCCAAGTCCAAGAGCTTTATAACTTTCTCTTATAGGATGGGATTTGCTTTTATACAAGTGTTTTTTATCATCAATGAATTCTTTGACTTTAAACCTTTTTTCATCTTTCCTAATATCATCAACGTCATGTGTATAGAATAATTCGGGTAGAGGCGAATCTAAAGTCCAATTTCGGAAGAATTTGTATATACGCCCATTAGGATGCAAGCATATATAACTATATTATAAAATAAACAAAAAAAAATTAATAAAATTAGGTGTACACAGAATCTGATTCAAAATGATTTCAAAACATGTTTTTCTGATTCCTGTTGAAACTACCCATGTCACCAAAAATCGGACCACTTTTAGCGGTAAATCGGAAAAAAAGTAGCGATTAATCGCAAAAACCGTCCATTTTCATTACATGGGTATGCTTTTATGAATATTGTTTAAGCTTTCAATTTATGCTAAGCGAGTAACCCATTGATTCCCAATTTTTTTCACAATGAAATTATATTTCTGTGTCAAAAAAAAGACATTAATAGTTAATCTTTGTATGATAGTCTTTAAAGCAATCAACACTAGATAATCGCACATTGTAGTCAGTACACATATTTTCTATCACATCGAGCATTACGTATTTTTGATCGATACTTTCATAGATAGTCAACCACAAAAGGCATGAAATTCTCAGATAATTGTTTCGTCTGTAAAACTTCGTAGAGCTCGTAGTGCTGATCATTTCTGGAAAAAATGATCTTCAAATGTAACCAATAAATGATGGTGCTAGAATCAAAATGCTCAGGCACGTGAATTACCACTCAGCAACGATCAGAAATAGCGGAAAATTTAGAGTACTTTGACCCTAGGGCCATAATTTATTGAATAAATTGGAATCGTTTTTTACTAAAATGATCAATGCAACGAGCTCTACAAAGTTCTACAGACGAAAACAATTTAGTGGTTGACTATCTATGGAAATATCCATCAAATATATGATTCATAAGCATTTTTGCGTTAGTAGTTAGAGTTGTAGAATGATGTTGCGGTTCTATTAGTTTGATAGATAAGTTATTCACGTTTTTTTTTTCGGTTTTTAGGTAAATTTTAGGCTTTATATCTCTCCAGTCACGAGATATAAAGCCTAAAATTTGCCTAAAAACCGAAAAAAAAACGTGCAGAACTTGTCTACCAATATAACAGGTAAAATACCTTTCCAAATAATCAAAGAATATGCTAGTGACACAGTTGTTCAATGACTGCAATCTGATGTATTTATATATCGCCAATATTCTAAGCGAAATACTAAGACGTATATATACATTGCCGAGAGTCCAAGGGTTAGTCATAGTGTTTTGTAGAACCAAGACAATAATTATAAATAATACATTACGGAAGCGTTACTCGTTTATTTCTTTATCTGGTAATAGTAATTAAGTTTATCGAAATTGTAACCAATGATAAATATTATCATTAATAAAATCGTACGAATATTTTTTGTTTGTTATTGTATATTTACAGGTTTAGATCGAAATTCAACTTAGCTACCAATTAATGTTTTGAATAATATTAAAGTAATCAAAATAGTATTCATTTAATATGAATTACAGTCGATTCTTATTTATTAGCCTCAGATTGAGATTTATAGAATTTTCTTTCAAAGAATATTTATTTAGAGATGATCTTCAACCTAACCTTTTTCAAACTTTGATCATATTATATTTTGATCATTCGGTACTAAATGTTATTAACATATCTTATGATCTGCAAATAATCCATATTCTTACTGCCATATAATTTCTAACGTCTATTTAGATATACTCAAATGAGACATTTTTAATGAAACGTTATTTAATCAGGCTTCAATTATTTATGATAAGAAAGTGACAAGTTCGTTTATGCTGATAATATAATTAAAAAAAAAACATTTTTTTTAACTTACATGTCATAGAACGATAATATCCATAATAGACTAATTTTAAATTGAAAGGGTATATAACGTAACATAAAGTCATTGAAGAGAAAGGCGTCAATACAAGTAGAAATACAACATGATGCTTGTTGAAGAATTAAGAAAGGCCATTCAAGCTCATGATCTATCCATTTACACACAAGATATATAGTTTGCCAAACCATTAAATAAATAGTTAACATATCTATTTTACATATATAATATGTATTGTGGTGATCACAGTAACGATTAATAAGCCAACCCACGAAGAGGGCCAATATCATCGGTTTCATACGATGACATAGTTGCCTACCGCCACATAATGATAATACCGGATGGAAGTAAGATATAATCGTTAATAATAGAAGTTTTGCATTATCATGTTCAGTCCAAAGAAAAGCACACAATTCAAAACCTACATAGATATTTATATAAGAAAACTATTGAATTTAAATTATTACTTTGACGACCGTTGTACAAGCATCGTCCTAACAGAATTAAATGATGAACTATATCAAAAAATTGTTGTATTAATGAATTATATGCACTAGTTCCTTGAAGACAATAGTCAAGAACAAACGTTAAAAGCATACTCAAAGCCATGGCGATTAATATGTATATATTGCTATTCATCATTCACCCACTTCGATCGCAAGAATTGGAAGCAAAAAGCTTATATCTATCTTCAATTACAACCTATCCTCTTTATAAAAGTGTTTTCGATTAATAATGATTAATTGATATATTCTCAACGTAAATCATTGCATTTCTTCTATTTCATCAATATTTATATGAGAGAAAGTCGACGTAATAGCTCATACAGTATTATATGATGGACATGCTTGACGTGTAACAAACAAAGAATGTAAAAAAAAAAAAGGCAACTTGATCGTCCATACAGAATGAAGGTGAATTGACTGACGAAAAAAAAGATGATGAATATAATAATAGACAGGTATACTTTCATTCACATAAAGCACATGTTGGTTATTCCAATTGAGAAGACACCTGTTTTAATACAGAAGAAAAGTTGTGTTGAACTCAATATTGGAATGAAGAATATTAAATCAAAATGGATCAGTTTCTTTCTGCCATTAAACTGATTATGTTGAAGATAAAACTATTGTCAGATTTGATTATTTCTTAGATGGATGGATAGAGTAGATAGGACTATTCTGAACGCCTTTGCAAAAATTCAAGTTTGAACTCTCATAACTTTTTTTTATCTTTTATCATTTTCCGAAAAAAAACACTGAAAAGTAGCCTGAAGTGTTCTCTATATGTTTATCTAAAAATCTCTAAAAAATACCTGTAGAAAATTGTTCATCATTTATTTTGCTAGAAGCTCCATTGTTTGTTGAGAATAGCCCCACACGAGATTATCACGAACACTTGCTGTATAGTATAGGATTATTATGAACACTCAGCCATAATAACAGGGAAAATTCGACTTCATTCTAAATCACTTTAATTATCATGCGAAAACAATTTTTTTTATGACTAGATAGAGCGTCTTTTACTCTACAAGTGGTAAGATTGGTGTAACA